TCTGTTGAAGACATGATGTGGAATGGGGAAGGCATAGAGCGAGCAAAGAAGAGTACGTGTCACTGAAGATGAAGTATTGTACAAAAGAAATCTTAGTGCTATATGACGACAGCGGTCTGAGGAAATGCATCTCCAAAATACTGATTTCCAGTGTTTGATTTTAAGATACTTCTTGCTGCTTTTTTTGTCAGAGCAGTTGTGTCTTTACAGTGAACACATAGTAGTGTTCTGTGGAGTTTCTAATCTTTTAATTTCCACGTTGCAGCATGCAGTCAAGAGCAATAATACTGAGATCACATAATTACTTACCAAAGCTTTTAATGTATGAAGTCACCCTTTTTTACTACCTGTGTGTGCTGATGAAAGTGTAATATGGAAAACTCAGAATGATGTTGGTAGCTGGTTGAGTTAGCTTTGATGTGTCAGTTTTGCTACCCCACCATGTATTAAACATTGCCAGAAGCCTTGAGTACGGAGTCTGCTTCATTTGCTTATAACTTCACCAAAGTGTAACTTTATTGGTCAGAAGTTTCTGTGCCTCACTCTGCCTCAGCGTGTTTGTAAATTCAGATACCTCTAGAGCTTTGCCAGTGGAGTTGTCTTTATCAGGCATGGCTTTTGCGATCTCCATGAATATTTGCTTGTGTTTGAAGCTGTCAACGCTTGAAAACTTTTGGATCATGCATTCACAAAAAGAGCCTTGTTTCTGTCCTGCTGATTTCCCAGCCAACCTTCAACATGAGACTGAGCATTACATCTTTCTGTGACTTAACTGAGAGCAGGGAGACCTCCTTCTGCCTTTGCCTTACCTGCTGATACCTCAGAGTAAAGGACTTAGTATTCTGGGTAGAGGGACAGCTGAAATTCTGTCTCATCTCTTGGTCTGCGCCTCAGCTTCATTTTAGTTCTTGCAACAAGACCTGCTTTGGACTGAATTATTCTTGTAGTTGGTCACTCACTTATTGCTCAAATTTATATTTAATTCCATTATTCATAGTAAATCTTTTTTTCTCTCTGAAGAGATGTCTCTCTTAGACATCTGTCTCTGGTGTTGATTTGATGAATTAATTATATAGTGAAGTGGCGTTACCTTTTATTTTTGAGACTTCTGATAGCAGCTGTGTATATTGAGCTTGGAGTCCTTCTCCAGGCTTGACTGCTTATGAAATGTATACGGATCCAAGGGATTTTTTTTCAGGCTTTGATTCTCACTTCAGCCTACTGGCAATTTTAAGTAGCTTAACTGACAGGGCATGACACTTCTTTCTGACATTTATGTAACTTTTGCCTCAGCACTTGGTTTCACTCAGGATTTTTGGGGAAAGGTGGATGGTCCTCCTGTCATGGAGTATTCACCAGGGTTTTCAGCGGTAGAAATATGTTTCCAATAATTATGGCTTTTCTTTGTTCTGTATTGAACTCATAAACTTGCCATATATTTCTTTGGTTAACAATTTTCATTTGTTTCTTTGCCAGTTTTGAAGGATTTGTAGGAGTTGCAGAGCTACTATTCTAATTGCAAATACACTAGGTAACTTATGTGTAAGTAAGGTCTATGGGGAGACCTTATTGCAGCCTTTCAATATATGGATGTGGCTTATAAGAAAGATGGAGAATGACTTTTTACTAGGGCCTGTCGTGACAGGACAAGGGACAATGATTTTAAACGGAAAGAGAGGAGATATAGAGTGGATACAAGGAAGAAATTTTTTATGGTGAGGGTGGTGAGACACTGGAACAGGTTGCCCAAGAGAAGTTGTGGATGCCCCATTATTGGAAGTGTGGTATGGTTGGAAAGGGCACTGAGCAACCTGATCTTGTGGAAGATGTCCCTGCCCATGACAGGGGCATTCCCTTTGAACACAAATCATTCTATGCTTCTATGATTCTACTGCCTGCAGTCAATGACAGGGAGATGACTTGTTTACTTTTCCTTGAGACCGTATGTAAAAATCACCCACAGTGTCAGATTCATAAACTGTCTAGCCCAGTGTCCTGTTGCAAACTGTGGCGATAGACATTGCTACTTATCAGTTGCATGGAAATCTAGCTCTTCCTGGTGTCCATTCTCCTTGTACTCTCTGGCATCTGCAGTTGTGCAAGGTGATGTGTGTTACAACATTGTCTTTCCTTTAGTGTCTGTTTGTCAGGGAACTTGTGCAATTCTGTTAGAATTTTGTGACTCTCCTCTGGACCTGCTCCAACAGGTCCATGTCCTTCTTATGTTGGGGGCCCCAGAGCTGGACACAGTACTCCAGGTGGGGTCTCAACGGAGTGGAATAGAATGGTAGAATCACCTCCCTCAACCTGCTGGCCACACTTCTTTTGATGCAGCCCAGGATATGGTTGGCCTTCTGGGCTGTGAGCGCACATCATCAGTTCGTGTCCAGCTTTTCATCCTCCACTACCCCCAAGTCCTTCTCGGCAAGGCTGCTCTCAATCCTTTCATCTCCCAGCCTGTATTGATACCAGGGGTTGCCCCAACCCAGGTGCAGGACCTGGCCTTGTTTAACCTCATGAGGTTCACATGGGTCCACTTCTCAAGATTGTCCAGGTCCGTCTGGATGGCATCCTGTCCCTCAGGCCTGTCAACCGCACCACTCAGCTCGGTGTTGTCTGCAGACTTGCTGAGGGTGCACCACTTGATCCCACTGTTTTTGTCATTGATGAAGATATTGAACAGTACCGGTCCCAATACAGACCCCTGAGGGACACCAGTTGTCACCAGTCTCCATCTGGACATTGAGCCGTTGACCACTACCCTCTGGATGAGACCATCCAACCAATTCCTCATCCAGCAAACAGTCCACCCATCAAATTCTTTTCTCTCCAATTTAGAGAGAAGGATGTTGTGGGGGACAGTGTCAAAAGCCTTACAGAAGTCCAGATAGATGACATCTGTAGCTCTTCCCTTGTCCACTGATGTAGTCACTCCATCATAGAAAGTCACCAGGTTGGTCAGGCAGAACTTGCCCCAGGTGAAGCCATGCTGGCTGTCTCGAATCGCCTCTTGTCCTCCATGTGCCCTAGCATAGCTTCTAGGAATGATCTTCCATGACCTTGCCAGGCACTGAGGCGAGGCTGACAGGTCATTAGTTCCCAGGGTCCTCCTTTCTACCGTTTTTAAAAATGGGTGCAATGTTTCTTCAAATTTGTTGGCACAGTCTGTGCTACTAACCTCAAGTGGAAACAAACCCAGAAGCGTGTAACTTGCAGCTTAAAGAAGTGCTTTCTTGTATGTTTTAAACTGATCTCTTACTAGTTTCAGTGAGTGCCCTCTGTTGTGGGCTCTGGTGATCAGCAGTTAATCATTCACCTTACCCACTGCCTTCCTGAATCTTTGCACTTTGATCATATACCCCCTCAGCCGCCTTTGCCAAGTTGGTGTCAGCCTTGTTAGTTTCTTAAGGCAGCTGCTTTAGTCCCTTAATTATATTAGTCTTCCCTCTCTCCTTCTCTTTCCTCCAAGTCCTCCATGAAATGTGGGTGCCAGAACCGCACCCGGTGCTTGGCGTGTGGATATATGAGGGTTTTATGGAGAATGAAAACGATGCCCTCTGTGTTTGTTCTTAATCACCTTCCTAGTAGTGCCCAGCGTTTTATTGCTATTTCTGGCGGCTGCTGCTTGCGTTGAGCTGATGTTTAAGAGAATCATGAGTGGTGATAAAAGATCTCTCTCATGAGCTGTAGTTGCCAAACTGTAGTTGAGTATCACATAAGCATAGTTCAGCTTTCCCAAGATTCAGCACCTTTTATTTATCTACACAGAAGCTCATCTGCCACCTTTTGTCCATTGGGTTTTGTGAGGTCTTTCGGCAGTGGCTCACCATTGGTACAGTACTTAACTGCCCATTTGATTACTAGGAGAAAGTTCTTTGTTGGCATGCAGATCATTCAGTTCAGTAAGAAAAAATAAACCAACCCTGAGAAATGCTTAGCTGCTTAATAAACATACTGTCAAAGTAAGTTTTGTCTTTTAAATTCTTCAACTATCAAGGCTCAGGTAAGCTTTTCTGCACACAACTGAGCTCTGTGTGTTAGATTTTGCTGCCAATATTCAAGTCTTGAGCAGTTTAATTTCTGATTTGTCGTGTTTGTAGTATTTGATAGTAAGACTGCTTTGGTTTATATTCACCAGGTTATTAATGACAAATGAAAATTTAAACTAACCGCTGTTTACCAAATCAGTAGCCAGTCATTATTAATGGCTTTGTTAGGCTGTATAGTCCCTATTAGAAGTTATTGCCCAGACTGGATGCCAGAAAATATCCAAATTTTCTTAGAGGTTCATCCATTCCTAAACCCAGACAGCCAACTGTAAGACAGAAAACAATTTATTTTTTTTTTTAATAGACAAGGCAAAACTCTTCTAATCTTTAGATCTTCTGAAACCCAGAACTGTCAGTAACTGCAGCACATTTCAAAGTTCTTCATAGCCTTACATTTGCAATTGGTATGTTTCTTTTAAATTAATTAGCATTTAAATTGTTAGGTAGCATTTTGTGTTCTGAAACTTACTAGTGTACTTTTTTTCTGAATAAACAAGCTGGTATTGATTATGCTTAGAACAGCTATTTAGCATGGCCTGAGTGGAATAGCACTGCGTGAGCTTTTCTTCAAAATAGATCTGTACTGGTGGAGGAAGGGGGTGATGGTAATTCAAACTGTGGCATTAACTTACTTCCTCTCTCCCCTTTAAATACTTCTCTTCACTTTTCACACTTGCCGCTATTGCTTGTAAAGATTTTGCTGAGTTTGGGGAAGAGTCAATAGTATCAGCAGAAATTGAAGAAGAGCCTATGAGCAGGGTGGATTTCAAACTGTGTACAGTGATGTATTTTTGTCTGTTACGATAATTTTAGGAATTACTGTTAAGAGCAACTATTTTTTCCTGAAATTAATGCCTTTCTGATATGAACTCTGAGAGCGTGATGAGATGCTTGTAAGTTGAGACATGGATTTGGGTTGTTTATAATTCTGGTATCATTTTGTTTATGCAGGTTTGGACTAAGCAACAAATTTGAAGCAGAATTTCCTTCCTCTTTAACTGGAAAGGTGAGTATCTGTGTATAGGAATTTGGAATCAGAGAGAAGATTTTATTACAAAAGCAACAATTCCAGGTGTAGTCCACTGTAAGAGTATTAAATCACACTGCTGTGGTACTAGTTAGTTTTGGATTTTTTTTTTCCCCTTGTAGGTTGCACCCGAAGAATTTAAAGCCAGCATCAGTAGAGTGAACAGTTGTCTTAAGAAGAACCTTCCAGTTAATGTACGATGGCTACTATGCGGATGCCTTTGCTGCTGCTGCACTTTAGGTTGTAGTATGTGGCCAGTTATCTGCCTCAGTAAAAGAGTAAGTTGAACTCTTCATATTTTGGTAGTTGAGTTGTTGAGTTGTACTGGGTTTGTTCTCTTTTTTTTTTTTTTTTTTCCTCCCCTACCTTCAAAAACTGTGTGCTAGAACTTATTCAAATCAGTTTGATTTCATGCATTTTGATATATATTGTCTGTCATACTAGTTAAAGTTACAACAGACACCAGTCAGAACTTTGAGTTTATAACTCAATGAGCGGTGGTATAGCCGAATGTCTCTGCTAGAACCATGTGCTGTATAACACTTATTATTAGTGAAGTAACTGTCAACATACTTTTTTAATAGCTGTATCTTCTCTGTGATGCTGTTTGGGATTATTAAAATTTGGCAGTGACTGAGTGGCAGTTTGTTTTGAGGAGCTTTTGATTTACACTGCAGCCCAAATAGCCGTATGTTTTTGTTTAAAAAGGCAGGTTTTAAAAGATAATAATTAATTTTTCTTTTTGGATTTTCCTTCCAAGCTGTAGATGAGTAAGGTTGTTGGGTTTTTTTACATTAAGAACTAAAAGTAGTGTTTTGTCTGTGTAAACTTTGCACTTAGTGTTTTGTTCACAACAGAAGCTTATTGCACGTGCCTGTTTTTCACTTCCTTTTCCTCAGTGCAGTTAATTAGGCTTCCCTCCTCTCTCTTCTGTTTTCATGTGTGTAAAAGTTGTCTTTGGCTTGTCCTATTTCACTACTTTGCAAGAAGTCTCCGTGCCTCCCCGTCCTCTCCTCTTTTAGTACTGTTCATCATTCCATTTCATGGCTAGGCTTGTGTATATTCTCCCTCGTGTGATACCTCTTAATGCTACAAATTGTGTACAATTCAGTACACTGAACATTGTCATGATTTCTTTTATCAAAGTCCTCATTTTACAGGTTCAGTAAATCAAGGCATTCTAAGAAAAAATATTTATAGTTTGAACAGCGATCATAAAAAAAAAAACAAAAAACCAACAACCCAACCTGTATGCATTTTGGTATCATCTAACTTTCTGTCTTAAGATCTTAATGCTTAGTCCCTTTGAGAAATTACTTAAGGCTAGTTTTAATTGTATACAAAACAAGGTAGAAAAGCCTCCCGGTAACTTTGAGGTCTGTGGAGGAAAAAAAAATAAAATGTTGGTGTCAGTGTGAATTAAATCAAACCCTAGGTTTTCTGTCTTTAAGCGGTCACAAACTAGTAAGTGTCCTGTAGCATGATTGTATATCCATATCCTGAAAGTCTGTTAGAAGACATCATCTGTTGAAGCAGTCAGCAAATTATAAGTTGGTGACTTAGCTAGCTTGCAGAGAAGATCACCGTTACCTTTCTAGGCCTAGCTCTGTTCGTTACAAACACAAGGAAAACTTGCATTACCAATGTCCGTTTAACTTCTGCCAATGTCCATGTTTAACTTCTAAAGGAGAAAGCTTCTGGTGCTCTTTAGTTTGACCCATTTTTCTCATGTAATGTGCTGTTGTAGCAGGAAATGATAGCAGGATGTAACATGGTAGGGGCTGATGCTGCTAGTGCCACAGATTTGCTGATACAAGGCAGACTAATGGATTCAGTGTGAAGTAATCACTTACATTTGAACTCTTTTACTGCTCGTCTCTGACTTTACTGTGTCTTGGAAGAGGGTTGAGTTGATCCAAGTGATCTTCCGTGCTTTGACTTCTTCAGATCTCCTTTCACTGGCCAGACTGCAGCCATAGGTATAGTCACAACAGCCAGGATTCACTTCTTGAGGAAACAGAGATTCAGGATGATGTGTGCCTGTTTCTTCCCTTCAACTTTTAGATACAATGGATTCTTTCCCACTGATGCTCATAATGTAAAACAGTTACAACAAATGGACAATAAATAAAAGGTTACATATTGTACAGTACCTGTGCTTGTCTGGGAAGTGTTGCCCAGAGAGCTTTGCTAATTCAGCCCTGTCCTAAGTGATTCCTAGTGAAAGGAAAGTTACTTGGAAGTGGCCTGTGTTACATCCTTTGCTGCAGTGATCACAAAAGACTCCCAAGACCATATAATTGGAGAGTTTGATTTGTGAAAGCAGGATGGGAGTGCTCCCATGTAGAACTGAAATTTCTGTAGAACATGTTTTAATCACACAATAAAAATATACCAGCCTTGATCTTTGCCCTTTTCTACTGAAGCAGAGGACTGACAAGTTTCTGTTGTTGAATTGCCTATACAGCGAGCTAAGAAGTGGGAGTATTTCTCAAGTTAAGGATTTTATTAAATGAAATGACAGTTTCAACTATACAATTGCTTACTTTTAATACAGAAGAGTAATGTGTCTCAAATGATCTATTAAGAAATACCTGTTTTAATGAGGCTGAATCAATCTACCATGCTCTTAAATTGCTGGTATACTTTGTAGATCTTTTTCAGGTAAATGTTTTTTAAGGCTCATGCAGACAAAATGAATACTGCAGCTTCAGAGTGTGTGAAGTTACAATATTTCTCTTATTTTTTTTCTCTGTATTCTGTATTTTTACTGCTTTTCATTCACTCTTAAAATTCTAGCAGAATGTTATCACATGTGTGATTTGAAGAGGGGTAGAGGGGAGCATCTGTCGGTCCCATCTGGGGTCCCCCGGGTCCCCCACGTCCCCAGTAGCTGATTTGGCCTAAACCATGACAACGTGTAAACGTGATTTTTGAAGTTACAGACAATTATGGAAAGTTTGTGGACAGCGGGAATATATGCTTATTTTGTGCAGTGAAAAATAAGTTATGGGTTTGATTCAAACCAGCAGGTGCTTCAAACTAGGAATTTATTAAGTCACAGGCATTTGTAAGCTTAATTGTTAATTGTATCACTTTAATGCATTTCCATGCAATGAAAGTTTTCCCTTCGCTGTGTTTTTCTTTTCAATGCTTTGTTCAGTGCTAGTTTTGGAAGTCTTTGTACAGTATTGTTTCCTTTCTTCTTTTGCATTGAGGTATTTGAGAAAAAGCCTGCTACTCTTCACCAGTAGAATAAATGTTTAATTTGATTCAATATCTTATTGCCTCTCTCCTTTTATGTGGTCTTGATTCGATTTTAATGAATAAAAGCTGCAAGAAAATTACAGGAAAGAGTCCCTCGTTTGCAGATCTAGATCGTCAATGATCTTCAGCAGTTTTACTCATAGATTGTACCATCATTTCTGGGACAAGTTCCAGATTGTACAAATGAACATTAAGTCTTTAAGTTATTGTTCTTTAAATAAAAAGAACAACATAGTGAATTATAATTCAAAAAGCACTACAGGCTGAGGTGCCCATTTGAAGCCACTTTTTCAAATGAATTGACACTCATTTTCAGTATTAACTAAATGCTGTGTAAATAAGATAAATAATTTCAACAGAAATGGTAACAAAGAAAGCTATGATAGAATTGCAGTACCCCTAGATTTCTTAAAAGCTGGTATTGTGCATGTAAATTGCATGTTTCAGAAGGTTCATGGGCAATCTCTTAAAATGAATAGAATGAGATATTTAAGAGCGATCTGTACTTAATACTTTCAAGAGCTACTTGTTTGTTTATGAATTCACACAAAGCTGATGAATGCTGCTTAAGCCTTGTCATTAGTTGTCACTTACATAGCAGTTTACATTTTCAGGGTGCTGTATAAACGTAAGCTAATTACAACTTCCAAAGTATTGATTAAACTGAATATGTGGTGGAGGAGCTGGAATGAATTTTCTTAAATACAGCAGTCTTTCTTGTCAGTGGGTGATACTGATGTTAACATACACTAGTTCAGTTTATTGAAGCTATGAATGCATTACAGTTATTTTCAAAACTCAAGGAAATAGGCAGAGGAGAAAAATACATATCTGCCAGGGACTTGGCACTGGAGATACTCAAATGACATAATGCTTTTCCAAGCAGTTCCTCAAGGCAATGGCTGAAGATGCCTTGTTTTTGAAGTCTCCGTTGTGACAGTTTACATTGTAGTTCAGTTTGGAAGAATCTTTAAAGTTGTAATGTATTTATTATGCTTGTCCTAACCAGAACACATGTGATCTCTATATTGGCTCCAGTCAGCTTAGTAAAACTTTAAAAGTAGAGATTCTGTGTACCAGATATACATTCTTGACCATTGTCTTCAAATATATTCAGAGGTCTTTAAATTAATCTCTTCTTTTAGTATTAGCTATGAAATTAAAACTTTAAAAGAATTGGAAGATTCAGACCTGGTATATTTTTCCTTAAAAAATTGTTCACTATCACTTTGGTCAGAAGAGTCACATACTGAACTTAACGTGGCAAAGCTTATAGAACACTATAAATGTGAAATCATCGTGTGTATAGCTCTGTGATTATTACTTTTTTTTTGTCTATCTCTGAAATCAGATTTTATTTCCTTCAGATCATCCTCTAAAGGTTTATTGTGTTTTCATGTGTTTTCCTAAAGGGTAGAGTAGTGAGTTGGTGCATAATGAGGTGTGGGAGCAGAAAGTTCTGCCATGTTGCAAACCTACTTGGGGTGTGCAAGGCAATAAGGTGAGCATGGAGAATACTTACAAATATAAGTAAATCACAAAATATTAGTTTGTTTCTTTATAAGTCAAATGCAGATCCTTTAGTATTTCAAAAATAGGTAATCTAAAGTTAAATTTGTAATTTCATGTATTCCTAATAATAGATTTTATATTAATCTTAAATGCAGCATATATCTTTGGTTTCTACAGTGAATATTCTAAATGCTACTTAAAATTTAATTGCACTTGTAATTAGAATGATATCTGACATTCTTATATTAATCAAAATAATACATGAAGGATTAACATTTCTGTATATTAGCACCTTTTACATTGTGATGGCTAAGGTATATAGGGGGAGCCATAGATGATGCAGTGGTTTTCTTTTAATATTGCTTTTTGTATTGCTTTTCATGTCCTGTTTGATATGTTTCTGAAGAAATAAGTTTGAGCTAGTCAAAATTCACATAGAGCTGTTTTGAAAGAGCATGCTAAACGTGGTCTGGCCAGCTTTCAGATTTTGAAATCAGGT